TCCCCATTTCCCGTGGGACTTCCCTCACCCCCATCTTAATACATGTTTTTTAATGCCAGAGCTGCCCCTCCAGTCGAGGCCCGAGTCACGTCACCGCTGTCCCACAGTCCTTTCCAGGAAGATGGAGACATTCCCCTCCCTGATCCCAAACCAGGTACAGCCTCTGTTCCCGGCGGATCCTCCCTTTCACGGGCAAAACCCCTCCTAATCGTGTGAGTTAGAAAACTACCGGCAGAGAACAGATTGTTCCTGTCTGCTGCTTTGCCGCGTGCGTGTAAATAGTTGTGTGTCATTTACCATCTGGCAGAGGGATCCAAGCACTGAGGCGGTGACGGCGCTGGGTGCCAGCAGAGAGGCGGGAGGTGTACCGGCACTGCGAGTGGTTCATACGGCTCGGAGGCTGACAGCAGCTTGGGGCAGCGCCTGTTTGCTGTGGTACAACTGGCGAGCGATAGTCACATCTAGGACCATCAGACGGGGAGTCCCCAGCCCCTCTTCTGCCAGGGTGGTGGATGCGGAGGGGAGCCAGGAGGGACGGGCATGGGCTCTGGATGCATTTTAGGGGGCCGTCTGCCTACACTTGCCCATGAATGAGCAAAACGCATAAGGACGAGCTCCTCAGAGGACCCTGGTCCCTGCCAGCAGCTCTGCCCATCCCGAAGAGGTGGTGGCTGTGTGTGCCTTTGGGTGGGGACCCTGCACCCACCGCGGCTGCTTCCCTGTGGCTTTGCAAAGGCATTTCAATGAGCCTGGAGTCACCGCAGGCACGCAGAAACGGTGAGTCAGGCCCCAGAATTGCCAGGCTTGGCTGCTGCTCATGTTCAGTGCCGTTTTTTTGAAGCTGAGGTTGAGGGTTGTTCAGGGTTTGGGGGTTTTTTCAGATGATTTCTGGATTCAGAGATTTGGGGGCTTGCGTTTCCCAGTTTGGTTTTGGTGTGGGTTTGTTTTTTTTTTTTTTCCTGTAATGGGAAGACTCATTTTCTAAAAGAGGGCCCCTCCACCAGCTGAAATTGTCACATCCTTATTCCTAGGAGGATTTGGGAGCGCAAACCCCCCTGCCTGGGATGAGGCTCATGGCAGACCTGCAAACGCTGGGGGTCAGGCACTACCAGTCCACATAAGCAGCATCTCCCACCCACTCCACCAAAGCACGAATGACTCCGCAGCACGCGGAGCACACGACGATCAACTCCTCAATCTGTTCTTCCCCCCCCCCCCCCCCCCCCCCCCCTGTGATCACTCAAGCTTTAACCCAGCCTCGGTGAATGTGATTCATCTTGGCTGCTGTTAAGGCAGAATGGGAAGGTTACAACGCTGCTCTCCACTGCGTCGACATGATATACCCTGCCCATGAAATAATCTGCGGCTGGCGTTACGAGGCCATATATCCCCTTGAATTGCAACACCCTAAATGCGACAAGTAGCCACTTAATCGATACGAGTTCATTCTCTGTTTTCCTTCTTTACGGAAAATTGGGCAGACTCCCAGCCTGTTTCCATAGGAACGGGCTGGGAGACTGGGAGAACCGCCGGCTGCTGAAGGTCCGGCGTTAACGCAGCCACGGCATCTGCTTCGCACTGGCAGAAGCTCCAGCGGCCTCCCAACATCACAGCTACGTGAAGCCGAGTCAATTTGTGCTGGAGACAAGGAGCTGCCAGCTGATAACCAGTTAACATGCAGGTACCCGCATTAGCCCCACAGAATTTAGAGGAGGATGGAGAGGGCTCCTTTGCTCACCCGGCACCAGCATCCCGGGATGCCGGGGCTCGTCCTGCCCCCCCTGCTTCCCTGGGGGCTCCCCCAAACCCAACTCTTCCCCGGGGCTGAGCAAAGGCTTCCCCGCGCGATGGCAGCATTTGCTAAATCTCCAGCACTAGCTGGAGATGCCTCAGGTGTCTGCTTTGTTTTCCTTCCCTCTTATGAAATGAAATGAGAGGAAATAAATTGTAGCACAGCTCCCCCACCCGACTTTCTGTTCAAATGCCAGTTCTCAGCTAAGGCTATTGTTCCGCAGTGTTTCATTTTAAACTGCTTTATTAGACACTAAAATATCACTTCCTTGCTCTTGAAGGCAGCCTGTTCCTACAAGAGAGATAAAAGCTGGTGGCTTGATTGCAAAGGGGACATTTTGTTACTCTCCTAAATCAGCTGACTGCATTTTTTAATTGAAGGCGGCCCTGGGAGTGGTGGTGTATTATTAGCCTTGCTGGTGCCTGCTCCCCTCCACCCCAGGGGCAAGCTCTGCTTTTGCACTGCCGAGGCAAGAGGTTCAATTAGGTTTTGGCCTTCTTGCAGAAGCGCCCATCAAGCGCTCCGGGCTCCTCGCATGTGGAGTGAGGAATTAGGACGAGTCAGTTCTCACATCCTCCCAAACGTTGCTCTTTCTTGTGTCTGGCTGCAGATGCACAGCTGGGAACCGGCGTGGCGAATCTCCGTAACTCCAGTGCCTTCAGTTCCCCTTGGAGGGGAAAAACCACTTTATTTTCTTCCAGTAGATTTTTATTGTAGCTATAAGCACGGTGCAGGTAATGCACAGGAGACGCCGCCCCATCCTGAGCCTGGGGCACTGCAGTCTGGGCACTGCAGAAAGGTGCTGGTTCCCAGAAAGTGATTTTGTCACCTGCTTTGCCCCCTCCTGCTCCCAAGGGGCTGGTTCCCGGCTGGGGAAGCAGCAGAGCTCTCCAGGGCATTGCACAAGCTTTTTCTCTCAAGGCTCCTTACCACTCAGCAAAGGAGTGAACCTGAGCTTTGATACAGCCCCAGCAGCTGCCATGTCTGTGCTCCCGAGACATCAGCAGCGATTACTCATCTCAAGAGCTCCTGGTGCAGAGCAGAGGGGAAGGGAGGACTCTGCCACGTCTCCTGGCACCTCTGTCCACGTGATGCTTATCCCCCTTGGGCGTCGGTGTGCTCCAGGGATGTGACGGCGCGCTCCCACGGCCTTTGTCCTTGGCTCTGAGCCCGGCAGGGAAAGGCAGGTGGGGCTGGCACAGCTGCGGCAGGCAAAGGAGCCGGCACGGTGACTCCCACGGCAGCTGCAGCGGTGGGAAGCAGCAGAGTTTTATTCCGGCTGTTACAAAAAGTACCCTTGAAAATAGGCAGGAGAAGGCAGACTGCGGCGCAGCCACACGCGTGGTAGGGGATGCCACGTGAGCACAGCCTTCACCTTTAGCTCTTGGATGCTAATGGGCTCATCCGTCGTGTTTTTATAGCCATCACGGCGTCTGCTTGGCAAGACCTACCCTGCAGTGGTCTCCACCAGCCCGGTGCCACGATGGTCAGGGGCTCCTCCGGCCCGGAGAGGGCCTGTGGGAAGACCGGCTGCTCCCACCGCAACAAAACATACTTCAGATGCCGGCGTTTCTCCTTGCCGTGGCTCCAGCCTGGTCAGCCTCTCCCTTACCAAGTTGTCATCTCTTGGGCGATGGCCTAAGCATTGCTTCAGGGTGTCAGACGGGGACCCCGGACACACCTCGAGCCACCCAGCACCTCTCAGAGCTTGTTCTTGGAGGGGGACCAGCGAGGAGAAGGGGGTTACTGTCACTGCTCTGAATTAGTGCACCTGATGCAGCGGTTCTCAGAGAGTGTATCAGTTAAATGAATGAAGCCTCCCTAATGCCAGAATTCAAGGAGCTTCCTAATACGTGTCAGTCGACATGGCATTAATACTCTCTTCTGTGACCTTTACATCGCCATCCAAGTCCAGCTTCCCCTTTTTGCCCTTTGCTATTCCCTTTCATATTTAATATTAAATCTGATTTATCTGCAAGAGGGCTTTATCGTGCGCTCAGAGGATAGGATTATTTATGCAAAATAATTGCATATTATTATGCAATCATAATAATGCGATCAGTGAAAGGATTTCACAATCCCTCCCCGGGGCAGAGCCATGGGTGGGAAAAGCATCGGCCCAAGGGTAAAAGGCATCCTGCGCAGCCCTGGGCAGAGCTCTCCGCTGCCGCTCCCCTGCCGCTCGTCACCACGCCAGCATCTGATTTTCACCCGCATCGCTTGCGGTACTTGCCGCAGGGCTCCCTGCTGACCCCACCGTTTTCTTCAAGGTCAGCGCGCGGCAAACCCCGGGGGCCGCCCGGGGCAGGCAGCCGCCGGTCCGCTCCTCTTGATTTATGTGCTATTGAGCACAGAGAGAGTCTAATGGACCGTCTCGCAGGGGAAAGCCTGGCGCAGCCAGGTCTCTGAAGGGCTTCCTCACGTGTAGGACTCCTTTGTGCCTCCCACAGGATCCTATTACGCCTCCTTTGCCGCTTTTTCTTTATTTGCTGTGGATTTTTTTTTTTTTTCCACGCAGCACAAACCAACTGCCAGAGCCAGCGACACGCACTGATGGAGAGGCAGGAGGGCGGCTGGAGGGAGTGATGGATGGCACAGGAGATGCCGGTTGCAGATTTCAGGGACATGTACAGCACTTTAATTGGTTGGCCTGCACAGATTTCCTCACAGACAGCATTTTTTAATCTAAAAGAAAGCAAGAAACTGGAACGTGTCTTGCTTCTTTCATGACTTCCCTGGAGGCAGCAGCAGCACATTAAGGAAAAAGAGAAGGAGGACGAAAAAATAGTCAGAAGCACCAGGTGGCTGAATATCTTGCAGCCTAATTGATTCCTCTTTAATTAGTACAAAACCTGTTGCTCTCAACCAACGTTCAGTGCCAGCTTTGGAGCAAGCAGCATCCTCCCCAGCCCCACGCCAGCATGGCTTGGCGTGGCAGAGGGAGGAGAGGAGCCCACAGGGAATGGTGCGGGGTTGATGGTGCCTGTTCCGTACCTGGGAACCAGGACCACCTCCAGTTCCTATGACTTTCTTCCAGGCAGTGAGAGCAAGGAGGAGGAGAGCCAGCTGCGTCGGCACCCGTCACACACCGAGCCACGGCGGGGAGCTTGGATGGGACCATCCAGAGTAACTGAGACCTCACGGGGATTTTTGTACCTGTGCCTGGCCTCGCTTGGGAACCACTCACCGGTTCTTACCCAAATCCAGTTATTATTCAAATGGAAAAGAGCTCAACTTCATTTTCAGTGAAGTTACTTCTCTGCTTTTTGCCTTCTGACTTTCGAAAGGACGTCCAAGCCCTTGCATGGGTTTGAAACCAGGCTCTGCGTGGGCAAGGGCTGCTCTGGGTTAGGTGGTGACCTTGCCAAGCACAAAACAACTCCCCCCCTGCAGCACCCAGCCACATCTCTTGCGCTTCTGGAAGCGCCACCTTATGGGTTTAATTCTGTGGTCCTTCTGACCTGTGCAAGGGCTTCCCCTGGCTGGGGGGGGCTCTCCTGTCACCCAGTGGCTTCTCCCCAGCAGACCCGGGGAGTCGCACCCCGCCTCTGGTCCTGGGTCTCTGGTTCTGTTGAAATATCATCGTGGATGAGGTGATAACTTGTCTGCAGGTTTTGCAGAAAAGCCACCACCACCGGCCAGCTCGCGACAGTTGCCGTCGCTCCAGCACAGCAGCTGCTCCCCAGCAGGAAACCCAGAAATACCCGTTTAGGTAGAAAAGTGTCATTTACCATCGCTTTTTACAGCTGATCCCTGCTGAGAAACCGTTCTTACTGTGTGAGCGCCAGGCCGGCAGGCTCTGAGAAACAGAGATGGCTTCTTCCATCCTGATAACCACGCTAAGGGAGACAAAAGCCATTAACACGAGCCTGGCATCTTTTCATGCAGATGCATCCTCCGTGGGTGCTCGCGGGAATTGCAGGAGAGAAGAGGAAGCTGATGTGCAAATGCTGTGGCCTGAGCAGGAAGCTCAGGAGCTAAAATACACCCTGCCAGCCCTTGCATGCAGCCCCAGCCCCATGTGTCACCGCTGGGCAGGGGGGACCGTGCAAAAGTGGCACCGTCACAGGCTCCGGTGACTAACGAATCCCAGCGGTACAGCCCCGGAGCAGGAGCCAGAGCATCCCTCTCTGGGCTCTTGAGGGCTCAGGAGCAGTTTTTGCAGTGCTGAGCTGTTTGGCTGATGTTGCACAGACCTCTCTGAAGGCGCGATCTGGCCTGCAGACCTCACACCGCCGCGTGGATAATTAACAGTAATGAACGACCTCGTCAGTGCCTGGAATCCCAAGGCTGGGATGATGAATTAGCAGCTGAGCAGCCTCGATTTTACCTTGGAAAAAGAGCCCATCTGAGATGGAAATAGCTGCAGGACAGGCCCCCAGCTCATTTTATTTCTGCAGCGAGCGCAGGAGGGTGTTTACAGGAGGTTTTTCTGCCTGGGCTCAGGACCTGTGGACCAGATCTGGATTGCCCAGCTGGAAGCCACGGCTCCCCCTTGGTCACCTCCCACCCCATCCCCTCGGGAGCAAAAGCTGCTCCGCAGGGAAAGAGGGTCACAGCTCACAAGCCAGGGAAACGCTGGTGTGCAGAAGCTGTAGCTCAGCGCTGGAGCCCTTTTCCTGCCTGCGTGCAAACGCAGAGCCTGATCCAAAGACCCCGGGCCCCGCCTGCCCTCCCTCGTCCTCGGGAGCTGCCTCCCACATCCCACTCGCTCCCAGCGGGCAGGTGCCGATTCAAACCCGTGCCTTGCGGAGCCATTTGCTTGTGGTTTTCCCCTCCCTTGTGGAAGGCCAGCAGTTCCCCACTGTTTATAAAAAGCTCTATCTGTAAGGAACTGTTGAGCAAAGCAATAGCTTTTTCTTTTGTTTTGGTTTGGTTTTTTAACTGTTTTCCCCCAAAGTGCACTTCCCCTCCTGTCACCGCACACCCCGGCGCTGCCGTGGGCACGTTGCACTGGGATGGGTGAAGATGCCCAGACCGTCACACCAACAGCAGCATCCTCCCTCCCTTCCCTCCCTCCTTGGGCTGGGAAAGAGAAGGGCAAACGGCCGCAGGGAGGTGGGGATCCACATTATGGACATGATTCTCTCTCTCCTTGGAGAAGCCTTAATCCAAAGCCGTTAATAAAAACAGATTTCATGCCGCACGCAAAGATTAAATGAA